AGATAGTTGTAAATGTATATGTACATTTGTAACCGTAATACCTTAGAGTACTAATAAACAGTTAAGGCAAGACTGCCGAATTAAAAAAAAAAAAAAAAGATAGAATAATATTTGGAACTTGTTATCTAAACTTTATTCAGTGTGAAAAATAGGTTTACACGCAAACAGTAATGCATATACGCCGTTTATTGTACATGTATACATGATTTGAAATAGTTCTGGATCGACCGTCAAGAGAAAAATTTAGTGTACCAGAGACACAAACTATAAGTTATATCTGTATATCAATATATACAAAACAAGAATTAAGTTAGTAAATCTTATATGCACCTTCCCTGCACATAAGTATCATAACCAACCTTAACCAAGTTACGTCCTTTTAAATAAATAAATTATAAATAACAATAACAATAATACGTAGTCTATATAAGTTATTTTAATTAACTGCTTAATTTGGAACTTAATGTTACATATTAATCATAACCTCATTTCAGAAACAAGCATAACGATAAGAAATAAACAATATACCATCCACAAGAATCAAGATTTGCACTTGAATCTTCTTAACCCACACACAATCCTATTAATATATGCTGCACATTCATTTATGTTAAAATCATTAAATGAAGTTCGATATCTGGCATTATTAGTTCGATATATTTAAATGATAATATTTTATATACTTTTCAAAAAGAAAAAAAAGATCCAAAAATAAAAAAGATCACAAGAAGTCAGAGTTTTGGTATTTGTGTATTTCGATAATAATAATAGATCTAATCGGATCCGCAAGATCTGCAAATTATGAATTCGAAATGGATCAATCCGATTATTGAATTCATTTGTGGAATACTATATTTAGAAACGAAACTCACCAAGCCAGATTTAACGTTAAATTCAGACTGTATAAGTAAACTTTTTAACATTCATTTCAAGTATTAATATATGATATATTTAAATGGGAATAATACTAATATATGATGTATTAAATATATAAATTATAAGATGCATTGTTTAAAATGGAGACTGTATGTAGTATAGTATGCATAAAATTTTCAGATGAAAATTCTTATAAAAAGGTAATGACTGAAGCCAATTTTCACTAATTAAAAAATTAAATACCTCAACTAAATATCCTAAATATCATATAACTTATAAAAACAAATAATGAATAGAAATTTTATATTTATTTTATTGATTGCACTTTCTGTTACCAATACTATTCCACTTGAGAAAAGATCCACCAATTTTACCGATGTATGTTATTATGGAGTAGACCCTAGAGAAATAATCAGTGCAAGTGTTTCTCCTGATCCAGTGATTTCTGGACAAAATGTTACTTTCAATGTTTCCAGAACTCTAAGTAATGCTATTACAAATAAAGGGCTGATTTATATTGACTTTTGTGATGATGATTCAAGCTCTATTATATATGAAAATAATTCTACTGCGCCTCAAACTGCAGCTGGAAGTTCATTTAAAGCAAATCTCACATTTGAGGCACCAGCTAATTTACCAAGCAGTTACATTATTCAAGTTTTAGTTATGAGTCCAAGTGATCTGATAGGTTGTATAATAGCATCTGTTAGTTAGGACCTCCTCTTAATAAAATTTAATTCATAATGCCTTATTGACCTTTAGCTAATTAATATAGTAACTTAGAGTTAAAAAACTTAGAAAATTTTTTTCCTTTCTATTGAATTCCCCTTATATTAATTAAGCATTAATTCTGCAATAACAGTAATTCTGTATTTATTTAATATATTAATTATTAATTTTGTTTCAACTAAAGTCGTTCTTCACTTTTTTCCAAATTAATAATAGCTTATACCCTTCTGTGAAAAGCAGGCAAATTCATTATTTATTAGTTGTAATAGAGAATTTGAAGGTTTAATATCGCACTTTAGAATAGTTATAAAAAATTCTACTAGCCTATTCTATGCTTATATCATCATGATCTAAATTATAATAACTTGTTTTTCTATATAATATTATTAAATAAATAAAAAAAATCGGATTAAATATTAATTTTGTAAATAGAACCTTTTTTTCACTAATATTAAACGTTCCTTATGAATTTAAATATAATATATATTTATAAAAAAGCTTTTATTATTAGCAGAGATATATACATACTCAAAGTAGAAGAATGAAAATTACGAGATATTAAAAAGTAAAAATTAGTATATATATATTATGGTATACCATAGGTATACAAAGTAACATGTTTTGTGATTTAGTGATTTAGTGTTTTAATGTTCTAGTGTTTTAGTGTTTTGGTGTTTTAATGTTCTAGTGTTTTGGTATTATAGTGTTCTAGTATTTGTGTTCTAGTGTTCTAGTTTTTTAGTGTTCTAATATTCTAGTAGTTTGGCATTCTAGTGTTTAGTGTTTTAGGTTCTATTAGAAGATATGCATCAATATGTATAACATTTGATTATTTGGTACATATGGCATTATTTTACACTGATTAATTAAAATAAATAATTACTAAAATAGTTTACCTTTGATTAGAAGATATGTATCGATATGTATGACATTTGATTATTCTGTACAGCATTGTCTTGCACACTCAATAAAAATTGATTATAAAAAATTATATTAATATCACCTTAATATCATTAATTAATTACTGATTACATTAAAATAATAATATACCATTCTCTTGGAAGATACGTGAATGAACATCTCAATTACCTGATTTAGGGGATTACTAAAGCCTTGTATCTATGTAATTTTTGAGGTTTTAATTGTAATTAGGGTTAGGGTTAGTTTAACATTAGGTAAGAGTAGGTTTATAGGTAAAATTGTCTCCTCAACATTTTTTATTAATTCAACAAGACAGATTTAGACTGCCGTTTTTTCATATTTTTGTGTTTTTTGATTTATTGACTTGACTTTTTTGGGTTGATCTGTGTAAACAAATTTCATGATTTTGATTGATTGATTTATATATAAAAACTCATGTGGGTACAAGGCTTTAGCGGACCTTTGAATTTAGTTATTATATAGATTTTAGTGATTTTTTATTGTTAAATATATACAGTATGTACTTTAATAAATTTCATAATACAATCAGGTTTTACAACTGGTTTGCTTTATTTCATATACTATTTGAAAAAATGACTCATATTAAAGAGTATATTGTAAAAACCTAAAAAATATATTTTATATATGAGAATGCTAATTTTTACCGGGGAAAATCACAAGTAAAAATGTTCAGGACCCCCGAAAACCTCGCAAGAACTGAAATCGTGACCTTATATTATATTATATAAAAAATAAATCCTCTCTAATACCTTGAGAAAGCTGAAATCGGTCGGTCAATCGTCCCGCAGCAATCGGGTCACTGACCAACAAAACTCGGGTTCAGAAATCGAAGGAGGCGTGTTAGATTTGGATGAGCGGTTTATAAAAGAATGTATGTAGTTAGTAGGACATGTTTATATGACTTAGGTATTTTATTATTTATCTAAATCGGGTGTTGTTCTTCCCGAAGGGCCAACAGGCCTTTATTTTATAATGAATAATCTATCTAGAAAATCTGCCTATTCTACCATTACTGTCTATATTCCCAGAAACGCCCTTAAAGATAGAAAAACCAATAATCCCAAAACCACTATTATTTACAGAATCACCATTAATCCCAGAATCGCCGTTTCTACCATTTCTGTCATTTCTACTCTTTCCTCCAGAAATGGCATTTCTGCGATTTTCGTTCGGGAGAACCGAATTTGGGTCATGGGCGCACGTGCCTGCGGTCAGGTCACGTTTCCGGTCTCACAACCTTATCCTAACCCTAAAAATAATTAGAGAAGGTAATTCCCTCCGGTTAAATGTGGATATTTTCTTTATATACGTATTTCTTTTTTTTTGAAGAAAAGATCTAATTTTTATTTTAAAAAGTTAACGATTATATAATGTTATATAATTCGATTTATATACTTGGATAATCGAACACTCCATCTTATTCTATACTAATTATATGGTACAGAAAATTTATCGTTATGATTAGATTATTTAATCAACCAAGAAAAACCTGTCATCGGGCTTATTGTTTTATTTTTACTAGGTCTAAGCCTCTGAAAAACAACACTCAGAAACTGTGTACAGGTTGGGTTCGGATAATAGTCCGGAAAATGGTACTTTTTTTTTTTTTTTACCAAGACTTTATTTTTCAATTATAACCATTATAATAGTTTATTTTTTTTTAACCATTTGGTTTGTTTTCTGTGGCGTTCTTCGATGAATTATGTACTTTATTTGTATTTAATCATTTTTTACGCACTTCATTTCAGACTGATCGATATTTTCTTCTGAATATTCGTTGACTGAGATGAAGTTTGGAGAAATAGATAAGACGTAATTTGCCAACGATAGAGATTCGGATTTTTCGTATCTTTCAATACCGGTGTCAGAGCGAAAATCGGTCGGTCAATCGCTTGAACGATATGAGCTTCGTGGTAACCAAAATGTTAGGTCATGTCGGTCGAAAAAGGCGTGTTAGATTTGGTCGAGCGGTAATGTATAATTTCGGGACAGAACTAGGGTCTTTTATAGTTTTAGTAATGGTCGTAACAAGGGTATTTATCAAACGTTAGGTTTGATAAAGGAGTATAAAAACGACTTGTATGATTTATTATAAGAAGTTGTAAGATATATGAAAAAGTAATCGTAAGATATATGTATGATTTAGTGATTTAATAAAAGCAAAGACGGTAATTGTTATTCCCGAAGGCTCAATGGCCTTTATTTATAATTGCTCTTCAATCTATTTTTATGTACAGAATGCGTCTTATCTCTAGAAATATTGCTGGTATTGTTAAAAATCCTCCGATAATCACGAACTTCACGAATTCTCGGAATTCCGAGAATTCCTGCGGTAAATCCAAATTTAGATTTCCCGTGTCACGCGGGCACGTGCCTGCGATCAGGTCACGTTCCCGGTTTCACGCCGGCAAAAAGTTGGCTATTATTATTACTGTATTATTATTATTCTTCTTAACGTTACTAATGATAGTTTCAATAGATATTATGCTTATCAGATCTTCGTTGCTATATAGTTATTAAATAAATTCTGAATTATTATTAATTAAAAAATGTAAATACAACCCTAGTTTAAATATCTTTATTGACATTCTATGATTTTGTCTAGCTAAGTTCTAATTTGATGGCTTCTTGCTTGCAACTAATAAAAATTAACGAAATGAAGCTTATAATATTAAAATGAATGCTATAACAAATTTCGCATCGGTTTTTTTTTTTTTTTTTGCAAGAAAAAAAAACCAACGAATCATTTTCCAAGTGCGATCAAAACAATAGCTATCGTAACAAAACAACAGCCTTTCTTGGTTAAAATCAAAACCCATATACTATTTGTAATGAGAGCGTTACAAAACACCTCAAAGTCTTTTCCATCGTGAAAATTTAGCTCATTACTCTTAATTAACCACTTGCAAATATAGTTCCTTTACAAAATATCGACCGATTTAATTGCTAGTAAATGAAATACATAGACGGCTTTCTCTTCATTATACTGTGTCAGGAAAGCAACTCATTAAGCTTCTATGTACGGATAGTGCAAAGTTTATGAAGCAGAATACAGGATAGAAATTTACTCGGGTTAATTCCTTCTTCGAAAACATTGTACGTAAATGTATATCATCTTGCTTTGCGTTTAATTATTTTAGTTTGAGAATAATCGTGTTCATAACTATATACAGATTTGCACTTACTTTGTAATATGTTTGTAAATATGCTTGAGCGATTAAAAAAAAAATTAATGTATTTTTTATTTGAATAAACTATATATTGGGATTATTTTTTAATGATCTAACATCGCTACGTCGTACTAAATTTTGGGGTCAACCCAAAATTAGACACATACGTCAATGTATACTTAAAGTTTATGCTATATTCATTGTACTTATCTATTATATTAGTGTAAATGTTCTTCAGAAGCAATTCTGAAAATCATAGATTTCAAAATTTTCAGAAAGGATTACAAAGTATCTATATGATATCTCTGTAGAAGCTATGATTAATAATACTCTTCAATCAATTTAATTATATTCTCGACAGAGGCAAGGTAATAAACTTATAACTTGTAATAAAAAAAAATGTTATTAGATAAATATTTTCAGTTAATAATCTCATGGTTAGTTTGATCAGTGTTGGCATTGGACATGTGTCCAATGATTTTGACATATGAAATTTTATGTCAAATATTTTTTTAAATTATTGGACATATGTCCAATGCCAACACTGAGTTTGATGACTTCATTCATAATGAATTTAAATTTAATATTGTAAAGTCGAACAATGCCAAACCAAATGTGAATGGAAGATAACAAATAATCGCTAATCACCTTTTAGTTATCTAAATGAAGAATATTGTAAGCTCATTGCTACTAATCTATTTTCATAAAGTGAACTTATATTCTTGTAGAATTTGAATGATAAAATCAATACCTTCATTAATAATTAGTGATGAAATCATGCGCATGAAATTTTTGGCCTGCATTATGCTAATGCAGGCCGGCCCTCTCGAATTACAAATGTACGTAAATAAAAAAATTTGCGCGCATTTGCCAACCGGGGTTAAATCGCCACCCAAAGGATTTCATATCATGTGAATTACATTATTCACATATTCAAAAAAATCAATATATACTTTCATTTTTACTATTTTTATGAAAAATTTTATTAATAAGCATCCGCGATTATTAAATCACATGACCTGGATTTTTTTGGGTAGTAGTAGTGATTTAACCCCGGTTGCATTTGCCCATAACTATTACTATCAATAATATTATGAAAACGTAGTATTGAGGAAAAGGTATCTGTGTTCTGTTCAACAAAGATGGTGAAGTAAATTTATCCTTTATACATCATAAATATTTTCAAGTAAAATAATCTGTTGACAACTTATCTTTACGCCTTGCTTGCCTAGTAGGAAAAAATATATTGAAATATTCATTTCTGAATCAATCATGCATCCATGAAATTTTATGTTTATAGAAACGGTATAACTTTGTATATCTTGCATTTGATTTAATTCATCGAAGAAGAAAATTTCTTTTTAGTGAAGAAAAAACTTTCAAAGAAAAATTGATGAACACAAAAAATTAGTGATAGTTTAGATTGCACAAATATTTTCTTGTTATCCAGTAGGTACTATGTAAACACTGACGGAAAAAATTTTACATTATTTCTGCAAGTTTATATTAAAATCATGTGACAAATTCTTATTAATTTTAATATAAAATCTGCGGAATTAATATAAAATTCTTTCCGTAAGTGTATACGTCATACCTGCCAGATAAACTAGTTATCTGGCATGATATACGGATCATGGACATCGACAGTATAATTGCAACGCACGAGGCCTTCGGCCACGTGTTTTTGCTATTATCCTGCCAATACCCATGTATCCGTCAAATCATGCCAGATAGCAAGAAATTATCCGGCAGGTACTATGTATACACTGACGGAAAAAATTTCACTTTATTTCCGCAAATATTTATTAAAATCATGTGACAAAGTTTATTAATTTTAATATAAAATCTGCGGAAATTCTTTCCGTAAGTGTATACATCATACCTACCAGATAACAAGAAAACATTGTATAGTATATGTAATATATGACTGTTTGATCAAATTTAAATTTTCTAGAGTTTAACCTTCAATTAACTAACAGTTGACTTTGTAGAAACTTCAACTTTGAAACTATATCTTATAAATAATCTCGAAATAATTACTCGAGGTACTTAAATCAAGAATGCGAGTATTTACCATCGGATATCTTAAAGACTATCAATAATAAGAAGTATAAATAACTATTATGAGCTTCCAAATAGCAGAATAATCGGCAAATCGAATACACACCTTAGTCCCAGAATTATCTTCGCTTTTACAATATGTAATGATAAAACCAGTAGTTTTACATAACTTTTGGAGGCAAATTTTGTGTTAGAAAGCATATAAAAGACCCTGAATTTACCTTCAATAAACCTTAAGAACTTTTCGATTTTACATATTAGTATATTTTAGTAATTAATACTGGATTTAAGAATTTTCATAATATGCATAGTTGATATATACCATTGATGTCGAAGTTGTTCTTGAATCTTGAAATCGATTACAACTCTTGAAATACTTTACAGTCGACCCTCTCGAAATCGATCCTGCAAAACCGATAAAAAAATTGGTCTACCAAGTCCGTTCCCGTTATATAAATCTAATGTTTTCAAATTCGATACCTCTCAAAACTGATACAAAACCTGTCCACCATGCATACCGATTCTGAGATGGTCGACTGTATTTATAAGAATTAGAGCGAAAGATTGGTGTAACATATTGTTATGTGGTAAATCGAATCGATCATAGAAAATTAATTTGTTCGAAGATGCTGCGGTTTATTTAACTAATTCGTAATAAAATTTGGTTAAGTCAAAAAATAAAAATAAACATAAATATACAAAATTTAAATTTAGGAATTGCCCTGCACGAAATATTACGTCGGTTATAATAGAGTATTTTCGAGACATTATGAACAAAAATCTTGGATTTTGCACTTTAAAATTATAAAGTTTATATAGTTTAGATTATTAAATCCCGATATTCTATTTCCGATAAATTGTAAATACGTATACTTACGTAATCATAAATTATAAATTACGTACGTACGTACGTACGTATTTGTTTAAATAATGTTTTTTTATTAACGTTAATAAAAGTATAAAAATATGAGTTAAAAAATAAACTAAAAGCTAACTATAATTTAGTATAAAAAAACGTTATTTAATAATAAAACGTAACGTATATTTTAAAAAATAAAAAACGTTATTTAATAATAAAACGTAACATATATTTTAAAAAAATAAAATTTCAAAATTTAAGGTTTTAAGATTTTCTCTTTCTCAATATATTCTACTACTTTTGAATCGCACATTTCTTTCCAGTTATCTTTGTCATCATTGTCCTTATTATCCTTATTTTTTAATAATGTTCTAATAATTTTAGAACTAATTTCATTATTATTATTACAATCAATTAAAAAGATTTTTTTAAACATGTCTTTTAATTTATTTTCACAATATTCTTTCCAATTATTTTTTATATTTATACCTTTGAGATGTCTTTCAACAATTGCTATTTTATAATCTTCTAGATCATTTAATCCATTTCTTTCTGTTTTTAAAATTTCATCCAATCCACACAAGTAAATTACTTCTAGTTTTCTTCCTTTTAATTCTTGTTTAACATTTTTATTTAAAAATTCAGATAAATTTTTAATAATTTCATGATAATCAACAATAGCTTTAATGTTTTTTGGTGAAGAAGATTCCCATGCAGTATAATCAAGCCAGGATGATTCAGATGATTCTTTTATTGCTAATTTGATCATTTCTATTCTATGTTTTAATGGAATTGCTTCTTTAGGGTATTTTTCATCAAGATATAATTGTGGTGAAGGTGAAATATATCCTATTACTACTTTACAAATTTTTTCTTTTTCTAAGTAAGTTTTTGTAATTTTAAAAATTTCTACATGAAATTTGTGTATAGGATTATAAGAACCACAAGCTAATAATACAGCTAGAGGTTCTAAAGATTCATTTTTAAGATTTTCAAGATTCTCAAGTAATTTGTCAATAGGTATGAATTCATTTTTTTGAGAATTCATTTTTAATTAAATGATTTTTTTCATAAACGATAGAAAATTTTTTATAAAAAAAAACTTTTTTTTTTTTAAATAAGCTTATAAAAAATAAGCTTTGAAAAAGACATTTAAATTTTTTATTTAAAGTATAATGAAAAAAATGATATAATTTTAAGACAATCATAAAAAAATATCATAAAATGAAAGAACAATCTACGTGGTAATGTAAATACAGTCTTTAAATTATTGTAGCTCATCCCCAAATGTTATTTTCCCGACGTAATCCCCGACAAATTCGGCCTGCATTATAACTAATGCTGGCCGGTTTTATTAGAATTATATCTTTTCGGGAAAATGGCGCATTGTGTGACATTTGTAAAATATGTACAACATTTGAAGTTAAAATAAAACACTAAATATTTGTCGATACATTCTATTTTCGATACTTCCCATCCAACTAATGACAATGATAGTACCCAGCCATTGTAAATTATGAATATCTCCCGCTTATTACGTTGCACATACGTATGTACGTTCGTAACAGTTACACATGTAAGCGGGCTTCGCCGTCTGATTAACAAAAATACGTGATATATATAATTGGTTATTGTTTTTATTTAATTGCGAATTTTATTAATGATTAAAGATACACAAAGAGTTTCTTCTAAGCAGAGCTAAATAATTAGTATTATTAAAATTGGCGAATAATTAACTAAGTTGATGCTGACCTATACTTGTACAAATAGGATAAATGTTCTTAAAAAGTATGTACGTAATTGATAATGATTTTTTCATTTAGCACAAACAGTCTTTTGATACTTTAATCCTAACAAAAATAGAAATACAGCATTTCAATCGGTGCATACATTTTCAAACCAGTCTTATTAATGCTAGTAATGTATCATCGTGTAATTCTTCGTAACTCCGTATGTACATTCGTACATATGTGACTCGCTAATTAAAGATTACAAGATAAGGTTTGCATACAAACGTAGAAATAACTCCTTGTTTTTAATTCATTTAATAATAACGATAACAATTGTAATGACAAATCTTATTTTTCTCACGATGCTAGTGAAACGTAAGGTTTCCGTAAATAGAAACAATAACGATGAAACTCTTAAAAGATTTTCGAGTTTTAATTGGCGGCATTTATAACATCACCAGATCATCGGATTTTTTCTAGCCTGTATAACTTGTACACCATACCATCTTTATGCGCTAACTCTGTATCTTTAATATTCTCTTTTTCTCTTCAAACGTTAGTGAATAATGTAAGTTTTGTCAATGAGTGCCAATTCAGATGATGAAATATGTGCTGGCTGCGACGAAAGTTTGTGTAGGACTTGTAATGCTAAACGTTTAAAAGAAGAAAAATGGACAAGTGAAAATGATGTAATCGATAAATTTATACGCCAAATTCAACTTGAAGCACCTAGTCCTGATAAATTACTAGAGTGGGTTCCATTTAGTGATATCTCTAAAATTAAATTTCTTGCCAAAGGCGGTTATGGATGTGTATATAAAGCTGTATGGGAACTTGGCCCTATTAAATATTATGATAGCGATACTCAAAATTGGCACAGAGCCGGAAAAACTGACGTTGTTCTAAAATGTATAAAGAGTTTAAATAAAGATAGTATAACTAATGATTTTTTTGAAGAGGTATTTAATTTAATATGCTATTTTATGAACCAATTTTTATAAGCATTAATACTTATCGTTATTTGTTTTTTTTTAGATTAAAGCTCAAATTACCTCATTCGAGGATTTTAGTAATATTATTAGATGTTTTGGAATAACAAGATGTCCAACATCTGATAATTACATCATGATTATGGACTACAAAGAAGACGGTAGTCTCCATGAATATTTATATAAAAACTTTAAACTTCTGCGATGGGGACAAAAATTAGATATTTTATATACCGCAATCAAAGGACTTTCAAAAATTCATAAAAAAAACTTAATGCATAAGGATTTTCATAGCGGAAATGTTATCATTTCTGATAATTTTTCTTACATAGCTGATTTTGGTCTATGTAAAAATGTTTATTCCAAAGATGAAAAAAAAAATGAAAATGAAAAAATAGAAATTTGTGGTGTATTACCATATATTGCACCTGAAGTATTACGTGGAGAACCATACACGAAAGCCTCTGACATTTATTCTTTTGGGATTATTATGAATCAGGTTGCAATAGGTTATAAGCCGTATTATAATATTCCACATACTGATGAGCTTGCATTAAAGATTGCGTGCAAAAGCATTCACCCAATTATTGAAAAAGATAAAACTCCAAAAATTATTGTTGATTTGATCAAACGTTGTTGGAGGGAAAACCCAGTTGATCGGCCGACTGCTATTAACTTGGTTGATGAGCTTCAAAGATGTAGGCAAGATGACCATGAAATTTGGACTGAAATTGAATCCATTGAAGAAAAGATGAACTTTGGCATTCCACAAAATGAGCCTTGTTTAGATTACAATACATCAGAAATTTATGCTAGTAAAACAATTAATGTTTCAAAGGAATCAGGTAATTAGTTAATTTTTATTTTTTTCAAATAATTAACGCACTAATATTCATTTTATATTTTAGTAAGCAGTTTTAGCAAGCTAACTATTGAAATCCCATCAGAACCAGATAGTTAATTTTTTTATTATTTTGGTTCAACCCATCAATACATAAGCTTATTAATATTTGCAAATTAAAATTGGTAAAAATAATATATATGTATTGATAAAATTAAGAATGATTATAATTAACTTTTTTCGTTAAATTGATAATTTAGTAATTTTGTTAGCTTGGTAGTTTTTTTCCTATTATAATTATTATAAGTTTCTTCATTGACGCATCATTTTTTAATTTTAATCGATTGAATTATTACTTAGACTTATTTTTAATGCAGTTAATATTAATTTTTTTTGTAATAACAAAATTTAGTTTGTTAAAAAAAAACCCCATAATATTATAACTACGGACACACAAAGATATAACTTCATTAAACTTTTTATCATAGTTCATAAAAATAATAATAACAATAATAATAAATTTTCGATGATATTTCATACTCTTTTGAATGGTCATGAATAATAACATCTGTGCCTGTAACTTGACTGTAACGAAGTCACAGAAGAGATATTTTTAATTACGTGCTCAGGTCTATTTTATCATATGTTGAATCTTTTTATTCATATTACTGTTTTATATATATTTCCTCGAGCTTTCTACCCTTATTTAAAAAGGAGGTCTATTAAATCGGTTGAATTTTAAATGTAATGTAATTTTAAATAACGATGTTACATTAGGACCATTTGCGTTAGAGCTGTGCGAGAATTAGGGTCCGGAATCGGCCGGGCGGGCCGGATTGGGCCGGGCCTTCACAAAACCAAGTTTACAGCTATTATCATAATTCCTGGGACACCTGTAAAAATTTACCGAATGATTTTTTTGCCGATCCGGTTAAGTTATATATTTCGGGAATAATAATAAGATTCAGTAACAGATATATCAAATACGTAATTTAATAAGATCAGGTGAATAATATATATTACTATAAGACTAAATATTGATATACATACTTGTCGCACTTGTAAGTTGTAAAATTTCAATCCTATTCTTTGGCACGACCCATTTTTGTTTAAACGAAGCCTTTATTCATTTCTAATTATTTTTCGACGAAAAATTCGGGTTTAAAAAATTGTACAAAATTTCTTTGGCTAGATCTAATTATTTTTGACGAAAATTTGTTTTTAAAAAATTGTGTAAGATTTCAATTCCTATTCTTTGGCAAGAGCCGTTTTCATTCAAACAAAGTCTTTATTCATTTTTAATTATTTTTTGACGAAAATTCGTTTTTGTAAAATTTCAATTCCTATTATCAAACGAAGCCTTTATTCATTTCTAATTATTTTTCGACTAAAATTGGTTTTTAAAAATTGTATAAAACTTCAATTCCTATTCTTTGGCAAGATCCATTTTCGTTCAAACGAAGGCATTTATTTATTTCCAATTATTTTTCGTTTCGTGTCGAAGATGAAAATTTCGTTTTTAAAAAAACTAAATTTCGATTCCTATTCTTTGGCAAGATACATTTTCGTTCAAACGAAAACATTTATTTATTTCTAATTATTTTTCGGAAGACGAAAAATTTATTAACAAATATAAACATATAAAATTTTTTACTTGGATTTTGTTTATCATAATTCTTCATGCATTCTTAATAATTTCTTGGTCGTTTGGAATCCTAACCCGAGATTCATCTGTAAGCCAGTCGATCATATTTAACTTTTTAGTGGCACCTGCTCGAGTAATATATTTGTTATAAAAGTCTAATTTATATTCGATTCCTTCTTGTTAAGGTTTATGAGTACAAACTAAAGCACACCAACCATTTTTGGACAAGCATTCGAACGAAAATTAAAATCGTTGTTATGACAATCGTAAAATGATCATTTTATTATACGGATAATAATAATAATAATAATAATGCCGAATCAATAACTTAACCGGATCGGCTGAAAAATCATTCAGCAAATTTTTACAGGTGTCTCAGGAAATAATGATAATAGCTGGGATCTTTGCTAACAAAATGAGGTTCCGAGGCTATGTTGATTTTGTGAATAAAAATTAAATTTACCAGCTATCTAGTTATTCAATTTGAATGAATTTTTTTTTAATTTGTAGATTCTATTGAGATTTACAAAATAAAAAAAAATTTATTCAAATTGGATTGCTAGATGGCTGGCAACATAGCCTCGGAACCTCGTTTTGTTAGCAAAGATCCCAGCAGCTGTAAACTAAACCCGAACCCGAAACATCTAATCGGGTTCGGGCCTGGGCCGGGCCGGGCCCATGACTCAATTTACTGCTATTTTTATAATTTCTGGAACACCTGCTCATTACCTGAAATCTTTTTTGTCGTTCGGTAAATTACATAACTCTCCGGAAATTACATCACTGCCTCCGGACTAGTGCTCCGAACGGGTCGGGTCGGGTTATGAGTCAACCCGAACCCGACCCGAAATTTTAGGGCTAATATATTAAATTTTTTTAAAAAATGAATTCTAATTGCCTTTTTTGCTCTTAAACGTTTAATAATTCATGTAACGATGATCATCGAAGTTGGCTAATAAGTGCGGTGTTGCGTCATTTTCTTATTTTGTTTATTTTGTTTTATTATTATTATTATTATTATTACGTTTAGTTTTCTTTTTTGTTATATTTTTGGGGATTACTGGTATTCTATTTTATTATATCCTATTTTGTATGAATTGCTTATTTTGGAAACTGATTATCGTTGCTCGGTTAGGGATAGAGACCCTCAACGAGGGGTAAACCCACTCTACGAGGAATAGAGACCCTCAGAGGAGAATAGAAACCCTCAGAAAGGCATAAAATCTATCTGTGAAGGGTAAATGCCACGGGAATTAGAAAAATATAAATAAGAAGGGTTTCAGCTTGAAATAAGAACAATTATCGCTCATAGACATATGCAATTATTAGTTACATATATGCTAGAGTGTAATTCATTTGTATAAGGTTCTATTGAATTCGTGCTTATAAGAAAACAATTAATAAAGTGAAACTCTTCAAACCCAAAATCGTAAAAGTTCATTTATTACTTCAAAATTTTTTTTTTTTTTATTTTTATTTTTTTAATAAATTCGGCAGTCATGCCAAAACTTTATTAGACTTTGTACAACCAGCTATACTGTAGTTGTAGAATGTTGTCCGAAACACTAGCTCCAGATATCTAAATTCCAAGCTTTGACTCACCCGGTTATCCACTGGACACCTATGTGCGACCTGCTATAGATTACTTCAAAATTAGACTATTCTTGTTTAGATCAACAATATACAATAAATTAGTTTGATTATCCATCACATGACTTGATTCATTAAACTGACAGCTTCCATAATAGAGATTAACCAAACTAATACTGTGAAACCCATTACAAACCTCTCATCCTTTGTTTACGATCGACGCTAAACCGGTACTAATTACCAGAGCTCTCTCACTCGATCGTAATATTTGGTGCCAGTTGTGTGGACGAATGGTATAATTAGGAATCTATAGCCAAAATTGAATGTTAATTTTTCCTTAGAATATATTAGTAAAAAAAAGAAGTTAAACCTTATCTACCATGGATCTATTTTTGGAGAATGATGTGCATAGTGATATGAATAACGATCAAGAGAACCAAGAAAACAATTTTCAGCAACAAATTCAACAATTATTACGCTTAATGGCTAGTACCTTACCTTAGGCACTACAGAATAACCAAATATGAGAAATGAACGTAGTAATCATTCCTACATTTTCAGGAGGAAACCAAGGCCTGGTTGCATGGTTGGAGGCTGTGGGTCATGCTTTTAAAGCCAATAACGTCCAGGGAGATTAACGAATAGCTGTTGTTGGTGCATATCTAACCGGAATAGCCGCCTTGTGGTGGGAAACTAGGAGAAATGCTCGGCCTCATGTTGTTAGTTGGGAGGATGATTTTTGTCCAGAAACAAGCTTTGTTCATCAGTTCTGCCAAAACTTTTGCATGCAAATATTGATGAGTCAGTGGAGTACAGAGTTACTTACTAGAAGTCAAAAGGTAGAGGAAACATTTGATCAATACACTGCAGATATGGCTGCCTTGTTCAGACAGGTAACAGTAGGAGGAAACTAATACCTCGGATCGATGAAGGCCCAAATTTTTGTACAGAGGTTGCGACCGGACCTGGTGCTTGCCATAGGACTATTTATGCCCAAAACCCTGCAGGATGCGATAGATAGAGCTAAAGTTAGTGAGTTAACATTAGCAAGAAATTTGACGATACAAAACCCAACTTCTTTCTTGAATCCCATGGTCTCGTACTTACAGCAACTGCTAAATGAAGCAAAACCATTGACAATTTCAAATCCTAACGAAGACTCTATAAAAAAATTAACTGCATTAATGGAAGAGTTAGTAGTATCTGTTAAAAGTAATAATAGGACTAGAAAAGCTTATAATGAAAATAGAGGCAATTTTTGTAGAAATCGTTTGACAGTCACATGTTTTGCTTGCTGGCAACAAGGACATGTATCCTGGGAATGCCCTAATATAAATAATAATCACAATTCCACTCCTCAAACAAACGAACCAGAAAGAAGGAGAACTGAAGAAAAACATATTCTGAGCCCAGACCATGTTGGCCCAGCTATTAAAAGAAGAGAATTCTTTAAACTAGGAAGTGCATCTCAAGAGGGTGAGAGTGCGTTGAATTTAAAAAACCCCTCAGAAGAATCTGTGTTTGAAGTTTACACGGTTAAGAAGAGGAAAAAAAATAATGGTGAAGCAACCAAAGCGAGAGTGTCAGAAGCAAATAAAGAAGAAAATGACAATCTTGTGCATAAAGTAAAAAAGGTGATCACTAAGAAAAGAAAAACTAAACCTGTCAAGCCCAATATTCAGCCATATTCAATAATGACTGACTTGCAAAATAAAAAGACAGACATTACCTATGCCCAATTATTTCAGGTGGCACCCAACATTAGGAAGGAGATTACAAAAATAACGAGGGTAGGAAGAGTAGCTACGTCTAAGTTGCTAAATTTTGTCTTGAGCATGAGTGTAGTCTAAAAACCACCTCATGTATTGTGAAGTGCAAGTGAAGGGTCACACGATTCTTCGGATTCTAGATAGCGGTTCATCAGGTTGTGTCGTCTCTGCAAACTTCCTTAAACAAGTTGACATTCCCATAGATCGTCTCTTGGCAGTGGTAATAATAGGAGTTCATGAAGAACAAAAGCGTTCTTTAGGAGAAGTAGACGAGTTCCCTATTACAGTTAGTGGTAAGACGATTACCTTGCAAGCAGTGGTAACCGATGCTGGGAATTATGCAGTAATTGTAGGAAATGACTAGATGAAAAAAGCAAGAGCAAGGTTAGATTGGGAAGACTGTGAATTAATGATACAAGAAGGAAATAAAAGAATAATAATACCCACTGAATATTGCAAGCCTGCAAATATTAATAAACGACCAAGGACAATGAGGAAAAAGAGAAAACCACAGATGAGAAACAGAGTCAGAGAGCAATAAAGAAGAATATGAAGAAGAGAATTTACTCAATGAAGCATACCTATATTTGGAATTTAGAGAAGTTGCTGCTGAATCAGAATTCTGTGAAGCATGTTTAAAGCAGGGACATGGCTTTAAAGCATGTATCTTTAGAGGAAGTAAAGAAGAAGAAACCCTATAATTGCACAAAGAAAAAAGAAAGGACTTTAACATTGGGCAGGTAAGGGAGGAATAGGAAAATCAAATAAGGAAGATACTAGCGAAGTATGGAAGTACCTTCATGGACGAATTAGGCCAATTGGAAAGAACTTTGAAAGTTCGACATGAAATATTCATGGAGGATGGGCCTCCAGTTAAACAAAAGTTTTATGCCACGTCTAGGCCAGAACACGAATTCATCAGGTCAGAAATTCGAAGAATGCAGAAGACTGGAGTTATCCAACTATCGAATAGTCCTTGGGCTTCGCCCATAGTACTAGTAAAGAAAAAAATGGATCTTTGTGTTTTTGCGTAGACTTTCAAAAATTGAATAAAGTAACTAAACGAGATAGCTACCTCTGCCTAGAATCAATAAACTATTGGGAGCTCTGAAACAATCCACATGGTACTCGACTCTAGATCTAGCAAGTGGGTTCTGGCAGATAGAAATGCACTTGCGAGATCGAGAAAAAATAGCTTTTACTTCCCTCTTTGGCCTGTATAAGTTCAATGTAATGCCCTTCGGGCTTACAAACACACCTGCAACATTTCAGCGACTCATAGATCAGGTGCTACAAGGCGCTCTATAAAATTTTGCTTTGGCGTATATCGATAATGTTACTATTTTTTCTCCCACCTTTGAAGAACACCTTAGTTACGTTGAGGAAGTTCTTAAAAGAATAGAAGCTGCCAATTTGAAATTAAATAAAGAAAAATGTTTTTTCTTCTAGCAGAAAATAACATTTTTAGGCTATGAAATTTGTAAACAGAGTATAGCCCCAGAGAAAGAAAAATTAAGGCAGTCAAGAGTTTTTGTACCCTAAAAATCTTAGAGGCCTTCATGGATTTTTTGGTCTTGCCAGATTTTATTGGAGGTTTATGAAGGACTTTGTGAAAATGGCTGCACCCCTGTATAAACTATTAAAGAAGCAGAAGACATATAAGTGGGGACCAGATCAGCAACAGGCTTTCGAAAAGCTTAAAGAAAACCTCATAACTGCACCAATCCTAGCACATCCAGATGATAGTAAAGAATATATTCTCTATACTGACGCTTCTTATATGGCTCTAGGGGCCATATTGGTGCAACATGATGATAATAAAAAGGAACATGTCATTGAATATGCTAGTAGATCTACAAGTTTAGTAAAAACAAACTATACTATACCCAAATTAGAATATATAGCAATCGAATGGGCTGTGAAAAATTTCATACATACCTACATGGGCTTAAGTTCACTATTATTACTGATCATTCAGTTTTGGTATATATCAATAATATAACAAACTCATCCAGTCGAATGGCAAGACTGATAATGACTTTGCAAGGCTATAATTTTGTAATTAAGCACCGTTCCAGAAAACAACTTCTTCATGTAAACAGTTTATCTAGAATCGAATATTAAAGAAAGAAAAAGCAATTTAAAGGTTTTAAAAAAAAAAAAAAATCTGAAGCACAGAATCCAGACCAGGTTCCGGCATCCTGGCAAAATATATACATTAAAACACAAAAAAAAAAAAAAGAAAAAAAGAAAATGAACGAAGAAGGATATCAACACTTAGTAAAATACCTCTCTGACTTATCTGTATCCTCAAAATTCAGTGATGTCCAAATTCAGAAACTCAAATCTCAAGCTCAATATTATATAATACATGAAGATATTTTATATAAAAAAAAATAAGGATGACTCTCAGAATCCTCTAAGGTAGTAAGATGTGAAGAAGTAAAAATAATTTTAGATGCAATTTATGGGAGTGCTATTGGAGGACACTTAGGAGAAGCTGCTACCATTTGGAAGATTAGAAAGAGATATTTTTGGCCGCAAATGATTTCTGAAATTAAAAATTTTATCAAGGGTTGTATAATTTGTCAGCAACAAGAAAAACTGAAAACACGCGAATCTTTATATCTGATAAGGACAACACAACCATTTGACTGAATAGAAATTGATTTTGTGGGCCCACTCCTGTTAACAAAAAAAAGGAACAAATATTTACTTGTGGCCACAGAATTTGTAACTAAATGGCCGGAAGTGTGTGCGTTACCTGATTGCTAGGCAGAATCTGTAGCTTCATTTCTCATTAACAATATAATAAGTAGACACAGTTGTTCTAAAGAGATAGTTTCAGATCAAGGAACCCATTTTGATAATAAGGTAATTGATCAACTATGTAAAGAACTAAATATCAAACACATTATATCATCCAGTTACCACCCCCAGACCAATGGGCAGGTTGAAAGGTTTAACTGTACGTTATGTAGAGTGTTGTCCAAATGCACTATACAATATATAGAAGACTGGGATGAGTTTGTTCAATTGGCCCTATTTGCTTATCGAATGATGCGTCATAATACCATACAATATGAGCCGTTTTATCTAGTATATAGTAAAGAAGCACATTTACCTGTTGAACTAGATGTAACCACCTACCGTGTTGAAGAAATTGACGAAGAAAAGGTACAATCAGTAATTTTCACCAGGCTGGTAACTTTCATAGACGATCTAAAGGAGTCTCGTGCTATGGCAATAGGAAACATAAAACGATCACAAGAAAAACAAAGATTTACTCATGACAATTGATATTTGTTATGCAATTTTATAATAGGAGATAAGGTATGGCATTATCGAGCTAAGCTAAGTACTCGGAAGGGTGGCAAATTGGAGCCACACTGGCTTGGTCCCTATTGGATATACGAAATATTCAGGAATGGCACTTATAAATTACACACCCTAGAAGAAAAGGTATTAACGCAAAGAGTTCATAGTAGTTAGCTAAAACCATATATGGATCAAGATGCTACTTTATTTCTCCTAAAACTTGTAAAATAAAAAAATAAAAAAATAAAAATCAACTATAAAAGGGACAGAAAGGGAGTTAAAGTATAACAATATCTACTTCCAGGAAGAAGAACCACCATAATATTCGAACTTTTAAAAAAATGGAACAATGACTTAGTGATATTAGGATTCTGGTGCAAAGACTGGCCACGGCTTTGGGACCTGGTGAACCCGTGATTATAGATCGAGATCGTATTAATATCCGAACTCCTACTCAAGAAGCTTCGGAGTACATTCTTATGCCTGAAAGAAAAACTTTAGCTGAGAGTTCCGCGAGAGTATATTCATTTATCTTCAGAATCTGAATCGTGGGAATCTAACAAATCTACTTCTTTCTTTTGAACTCCCTGAAGGAATGTGGGATGAAAAACTAACTTATGCTAGCCAAGAAATACTTGATTTAGATGCTCATAACAGGTCTAATATTAAGGTTTTAGAAGTTTACTATAAAATAGGAAGTCTTATGGCTGAAAAGGGATAGAGCGATGCCACCTGAAAGAAATTTATATCCTGTTTCAAAAAAAAAAGGAGAAAACTGTGAGAAGAATTTCGAAAAGGGCATATGAATCATTTTCTATACGAGAAGAAGAATATTTAGACCTCATTGAACACATTAATATTACCATCTTAGATAAAATATATGATGAAGACTTTTCTGATCGATTATTAGAGGAGGCATGAACTAGAAGACAAGAAGATATGGTTAACGCCTTACTTTAATGATTCACGGGAGCTTATCCCTCAAAGAGGAGATGTTGTTGCGTCATTTTTTTTATTTTGTTTATTTTGTTTTATTATTATTATTATTATTACGTTTAGTTTTCTATTTTGTTATATTTTTGGGGATTACCGGTATTCTATTTTATTATATCCTATTTTGTATAAATTGCTTATTTTGGAAACTGATTATCATGGCTCGGTTAGGGATAGAGACCCTCAACGAGGGGTAAACCCACTTGACAAGGAATAGAGACTCTCAGAGGAGAATAGAAACTCTCAGAAAGAGATAAAATCTATCTGTGAAGGGTAAATGCCACGAGAATTAGAAAAATATAAATAAGAAGAGTTTCAGCTTGAAATAAGAACAATTATCGCTTATAGACATATGCAATTATTAGTTGCATATATGCTAGAGTGTAATTCATTTGTATAAGGTTCTATTGAATTCGTGCTTATAAGAAAACAATTAATAAAGTGAAACTCTTCAAACCCAAAATCGTAAAAGTTTATTTATTACTTCAAAATTAGACTATTCTCGTTTAGATCAACAATACACAATAAATTAGTTCGATCATTCATCATGTGACTTGATTTGTTAAACTGACAGCTTCCATACTAGAGATTAACCAAACTAATACCGTAAAACCTATTACAAACCTCTCATCCTTTGTTCAAGATCAACGCTAAACTGGTACTAATTACCAGAGCTCTCCCACTCGATCATAACAGTGGTATGCTTATAAACTCAGCGGGCTACTACAGTAAGAATAGTGCATTGCATATTCAGAATCAATGAAAGTTTTTTTATTATTATCCTATGGATTCATATAAAAAACTTTACTGATTTGCTATCAAGAAATTATTTTCGAAGTTAAAGAATTTAGGCAATTATTAAAACAAAGTTAGCAGTTAAGATTTTCCAAACTTTGATCGATTATATAAAGTAATTGCTGAGATGTTTTCATTAAAGGGTTGAAATAAGTATATAATATTATTACCAGAGATTTTTAATTTTATTGGTTTGAGATATCAACAAATGTGCACCAATCAGATCTCTTCGATAAATCAAACTAATTTCAATATGTATAATATTTTAAAGTAAAAAATATACATTAAAGTTAGATTAGAAATTGTAATTTTTTTATATTAGAGCGCAGAATGTGGTTTCATAGTCGAAATTTCAAGTTATTTATCGACAGTTTTTAAAAATTGTGATTTTCACATTGTACTTACAGCAGATTCTCAATTTTTATTGGCTAAGAGCAATGAACAAAATTTGAACAGAATTACTCGGAATTCTCTAATGTAACCACAGAGCCTATTAAGTGAAATTTGTTCCTGCATCAATTTTACCATAATGTGGCCAGAAATTTCTATTTTTGTAATGAAAAAAAATCAAAAGTTAATTACGACCAGAAATTAGTAAACAATTATGTAATGTTGGCCAAAATTTGCAGATCTGCGGCCGTTAATAATCAAAAATCGAGTGACAATTTTGTGTCGATCATTTGAAGAAATCTGATTGGTGCATACTTGACTGTTTTATTTAAAATATTATTTAAAAATATATATATACTTGCTATTAGAACAAAAAAAAAATATAAAATGCCAATTTCACGCATCTATAAATTGGATAATTTTCGGGTAAGTTATTTCTAACCCGAATCTGACCCGATTCGGAGCACTAGTACTAGACTACAGGTCTATATAGAATTTTAAATCAGCTGAATATAAGAAGCCCAAGTTTTGTAAAAAAGTAAGTGTTTAAAGCTAAATAGAGGATCAGAACTTAATTATAGAATTGTGTTTGGTTAGAAATTAGATTTAGGGTTAAACTAGATTTTAGATTAGCGATAGATAAAATAGGGTTAAAGTTAGGAATAGATAAACCGAAATTTTAGAGTTAGAAATCGATTTAGAGCTAGAATAGGTAAAATTAGTTTTGAAGTTAGAATAAATTAAAGTAGAATGATATTATGGCATTATGACATTGTAGTATTGCATTGTGACATTATGGCATTGTAGCAAATAATATGACACATGCTGTAATCGTATTAATTTGCCAAATTATTTCTACTGACAACACTAGATTAAAGTAAATTAGATATTACAAGTCACTCTGAATATCATCTGGATCTTTGCCTTGAAAATGACCTTATGGTATCATGTACCGTAAGGTCATTTTCAGGGCAAAGACTACATCTATTATAGTAAAGACCTGTTTATATAAAAAGTCTCTCAAAATTGTAAATTTACTAATAAACTCTCAATATAGTAAAGAAAATTTTGCAGCTCAATTACTATAATGAGAGTGACTTATATATATTACTGTATTAGCATTAGGTTAGTAAATATATATATGATTTATTTAAATAAAAAATAAATAATTTATTATAATATATATACAGTATATAGAGGTTATATATTATTACATATGAATCACATGATATGAATATATATACCTTTGGGTACATGTATATAACCTCATTTATAAATTTATATAATTAAGTAAATTTTATATCATAATATCTAAATAGATTGTTTATATAAATTTTATATATTATACAAGATTACTACCGGCATCCTTGCTTATTGTATTTATATTATTTTACATAAATATAACAATTTTCTTTTAATAATAATTTATATTATCCTATGCCCATGCCCAGGCCCATGCCAAATTTTTATGCCTATACTTATGCCTATGCCAAATTTTAGTGCCAATACCTATATTTATATCAAAATTTTTACATGCCATACTAATGCTTATATTTAGGTTTTCGTATTTGTGCCTATGTTTTTGCCAAAAACTTTGTATTTGTTGTTTATACCTATATTTTTTGTTGGGCACAGGCATGTGCCAGGTTTGCAGAACCCTAGTTTGCCGGCATGGTAATTTATACCAAGAATTAAGCTCTGCTATAAGATTAATAAAATCTTCATCCTCAACAATTGAGAATGGCTGCTGGTCACAAATAATCCACCGTATAAGCAAGGCATTAATAATTGCAATTTTACTTTCATCTAATGTATTATTTAACTCAATTCCTTTAACAGGAAATATACTTTGTTCAATTACTTTCCACTCATCTTTGTGATTACTCATAAAATGACCTTTAATTGTGCTAACACCCGTATTAGAGCTATATGGATTTCCACAACCTTTTTATAATCTTTACTCCATGAAAAATAACTCCAAATTGGATGGCATGGTTTACTTTTTATTATTTGCCTTTCATATTCGTCATTCTCAATATCTGAATTTTCATTTCAGTAGGTGCATTATTATACATATTTTCCTTTTCATCGCCACTAGTTATTTCACTAGAAACTTCACTAGAAATTTCACTATTCATATTTTCCTTATCGCTTCCATTATTTTCCTTATCACTTCCATTTCCATTTTCATTATTCATAACTATTAGATCATAAACGTTCATTGTATTTTAGAATATTAATCGAAAGGTCAATAATTTTTTTTAAAAAATATAGTTATTTAATTAAACTTTTTTATTTATATAATTAATTCAAAAATTACATATAAATTACATAATATTTATATTATTTTGTATTTTTTTTAGCGATTATATAAAATTTATGAACTGTGTATTAAAGATTTGACCGATATATAAAGCTCACATACTAATTATGTGTTGTTATCTATTCTAATTAATTGTAAAACCTTGCGTAAATATGTAAATAGGACAAGTGCTATAATATGAAAGATGAAACGATATGAATTGTATAAAAACTTAATCGATATATAAAACTTACATACCAATTACATATTTGATATTTATATATACTTATTTAAATAATAAATATTCTAATCAATTACATAAATCTTGCGTAAAATTGTAAAAATGATAGGTACTATGATTTGAGAAATGAAACGATGATGAGTGATCTCACCACACATGACCATAATAAAGTAGTATTTTAAAATTAAAATTTCTAATTATTTTTGGAAATTTAACCGGTTTAATAAAAATTTTTAACTAGCTATTTAACCAGTTACTTATATAATAAATGAACTAGTTATTATAGTTTATGACGTGTTAACAAACTTGATAAACCAGCTAGTTAAGCTGGTTTTGACTCTGACGATAACCGTTTAAGTCCCGAACCGAGTCAATGTTTAACATCCCTACGTACATACATCCACATTTACCTGATAAGCAACGATTGTTGGTAAATCCCGTGAGGTACCTGGCTTTAAGCAACCCCCCCCCGATTTGGAAGCCATGTGAATTATGTGAATTCTGTAAATTCCGAGAATTATGTGAATTCTGTGAATTTTGAGAACCCTTAATTTCCGTAATTCTTAAAATTCCCAAAATTATGAGAATTATGCGAATAATGGGAATGATTAAGGGAAGCCAAAACATCCGAAATAGTTGGGATTTTGAATAATAGAAATAGTGTGAATGAAAAGCCATAGTTAAAAATAGAAACTAAGATGTCCTTACTAATAGCGCGAAAGCTATAAAAGCACTAACTTTTCGTCTCAATAAAAGATAACTCAATAGAGTTCTACTTAATTAGAGTCTATATTACCGACTTTAAAGTTTCACTCTGATTACCCCCGATAAGTGAATTGCATAATCCCGTGATCCTCAATTAGAGCTTCGTGACGTAGTCTAGAGCTCTATTTTGGCCCCAATAACCAAGCCTTTCCACGCCCTCTTTCGTGCCTTACACCATTAGGGTTTGATAGAGTTTGGTGGTTAGTGTGTTGATTTGGATTAGTTTATTGTTAGTTGATATCCGTGAGAGCCATATTTTGGGTAACCGGATCGACTTTACCCTTCTCAACACCCCAGTAGAACCTGTATGATCTCTTGCCTGCATTGTATTTTTGAGAGTTATTTGTACAATGATATTAGTTTAAATATACTGATACATTGTTTACATAGATCTGTTAATTTTTTTTTTGCTGTCTTTTCGATTTTTTTTCGATATCTATTCGGGTTTATTAGCTCTGTTTTTCTGATGCATTTTTGTCGTCTATTCGAGTGTTATTTAATGTGCTTTATTTCTTTGATGCGTTTGCCATCTATTCAGGTGTTTTTTAATGTTCTATATTTCTTTGATGCTTTTTCATCATCGTTTCAAGTGATTCTTGCTGCACTTTGCTGTAATATTCATGCAGTGATAACATTCATATGAATGTTAATATCAATGTTCATAAGATACCAACTTTAATTAATTCTGTTATAATAACTGTAATAAAAAGAAATTGTAAATTAATAAAAATTTTGAAATTAATAAAATTATAAAAACTTTAAAATAGCTAGATTTTTTTTATAAACATTAATCAATATTCAACTTTCACTTCAACGCGAGTTGTTAATTAAAAAAACTACTTAATAAAGGAGCGGGCTGATTTTAGAGTGGAAGAGAGGTGTTTTGTTTAATCAGGTCATAATATATTTGATTGAATAATTTTTAACCAGATAGGGTGAGGGGGTATAGCCTCTTAGTAAATTGAAACGACCTGATTTCTGCCCATTCCTTAATGTGTAGCGCAGTATCATTCCCAATTTATTAATTTTATGAAAATTCCGACTTTTTAAGTTTGATTATGATTTTACGTATAATGCAATTTTTTTTTAATGTGATCACATAGAATTATTAGCAATGATAATATTAATATTATTAACTAAACCTCGAAATTCCCATCACTAATTGTAAAATTAACTGACGAAAGGTATTTATACATTTTTCTCCATATCGAGTTTTTTTTTTTTTTTATTCTATTTATCATCTTTCGCATTTTATTATGCCTTTCACAATTTATTTATTGCGCCTCTTACCAATCACATTATCCATCTTATTGTGCCCTTTTATTTCACAATATTTTATTACATAATTTATTTGTTTTTCTATTGCGCCCCTTCGTCGTGCCTCTACCTAATTTCTCATTGCGCCCCTTTTAAATCCTTTGTTACATTAGTCATTGTACCCCTTGAATGGGTGCCAGGTTGGTGGCACATTAATAAAGCACAGTATTTTAAAAAAATTTTTAATAAATTCAAGTATGAATGAACTACAATAATAATAAAATTATAAATTTTCATAAAGAAGCAAAACACAAATTTTCAAAAATATCTAAATGTTATTTCGATCCGATTCGTATCCTTTTTTATTTTCAAAAAAAATATATCCCTTCGTCAATTTGTAATGTATTGTCGTTATTCGAGCCAAAGAGCTTTTCATATGTTTTTTTAGAATGTATTTACATTTCAAAATAACATTAGCTCACCAAAGCTCTTACTTAAATATGAAAAAATAAGAATTATTTCATACACTCATGCAATGACTATATAATATTGGCCTTAAAGATTTATTAATTATTTCAAATAAATATAACTAATAAAATAAATACATACTGTACAGTTTATAAAAAAATCCTTTAAAATCAAAATGTTGTTCATATATATAGCATAAGCTATATTTTAAATGAAAAAGAATACCAGTAACGCTTTCCTAACATAATCATCAAAAGGGAATCATTTTTAAAGTTAAATAGGTTTTGTTAACCATACATATTCTAGAAATTACTTAGTAAGATTCATTATATTTGCATATAAAGCATTACGAATTTCTGCATTACAGTATCAACAATTTACAAATTAAAAAAAATAATATAGAACCTACAGTGTACATATGGAATGATTGGTAAAATACAAGGTGAAAAGTTTCGTTCAAAAGGAGACGTGTGTACGTACGTATGTGGTATCAGAAATTCTGATATGAATTGCTCTTAATAGATAATTGTAGCTGTTAACCCGGCACACACAGAAATGTGCCCTTCCAATCTCTCATTGTACCCTTTCCCAATTTATTGCTATGTTCTTTCCCGATCTCTTACCTTGCAGTATGCGCATTAAGACAATGCAGTTACATTATTACAGTATTATATAATTACGACATTTAACATGGCAAACTCTACAAACCTATTAATTTGAAAATTAATTCAACGTCAGCTATACGAATTGATGAGTCTTGTTTACCTTGTAAATTTATCATATTTCTGTCCAAATTTGCATTGAAGTACGCCAGGGTGTACGTTTTAGATATCCAAAGTCTTTTTGGCATGTCTCGTCAAATGTCCAAGGTTGTCAATAGTAGAAAAATAGGCATCATAAATTTTTATTTTTATTTATTTATGTGTTTACAGATACGTACTATAAAATATACCTACAGTGTTTTATTATTTAATGTTTTAAGATATAGACCTATGCATTTTAGTAGTTTTGTAGTGTTGTTTGTTTATTTATTTATTTATTTTTATTTATTTATTTTCAGAAAGTCCAAAAATGTTTAAATTCGTGTCATGACAACTGTGGCATGGAATTTGCTTTAAACTGAGAATTAAGAATATGAATTTAAAAACTTAACAAGATTTTAAAATTTAAATCAATCAACCTTATGTAAAATTTGATTGCAAGCTAAAGAGGTCAACTCTATAGAAAATTCAAATTTTAATTCAAAAAAAATCAAGATGGATACTTTCGCTATGACTGAAATTATTAATAATAATAAGAAAATTGGTGAAGGATCGAGTATTGATAATGAGAAGAGAGAAGCTCAGGTGGCTTTATTAACTTTGAAAAATAATTATGTTCGAGCCCTTGAACTTAAGGAAAGAGTCTGGAAATTGGACTTATATTTAATCGGCTTAAGTCTTTTATGTATAATTATTGGAGGTGCTCTTTTAATTTTAAAGTTAAATATTGTGAATTTAACTTCAATTGTAAGCCTTTCTGTATCTGCTGGTAGTTTTCTAGTTTTCGGAGGTGGTTCTATTTTTGCTTTTAAAACACTTCTTACCACCGCTTCCAGTTCAAATTCTAGTATTGAGAAAGGTGAAAAAAGTGATAAAATTCCTGATATCGATCTGACAGAATCTTCTATTCATATTGTACAATCTAAAATAATAGATAATGTGTATGATATGGTTAGAAAACTAAAAGAAAAGAAAAAAGGTCTAGGAAGTTTGGAAAATGCTGAATGTTTTTGGTTATTTGCTGGTTGTATTATTCTTTTTGGAATTGCAGGATATGATTTATACTATTTTGCTACTGGAAATTCTAATGGAGCTAATGGAACTCTTATGGACAAAACCCTAATTTTTATTGGTTTTATTGGCCTTCTATTTTGTCTATCTGTTGGCCTCGTGATCCAATCTGCAAAACGATACTTTATTTCTGAAGATAATAAAAAATGGACTTTTTATTTTGTTTGCCCTTTTGTTTGGTGCTTTTTTCTTATAAGAATGAATAAAAACAAAGGATTTGAACTAAAGGATGTTCATTTTTCACATAAAGAAGAAGAAATGGTCTTATATCTTCTTCATGGTGTAACGTATAATGAGAAATGCCATAAATCCTCGCATTGATAAATAGTGCACTATTTTTGTAGTTAGTTTTATTGCACATTATCTGTTTATATTTGTTAGTCATTTTTAAAAAGATACTATTATTTACTTAATAAATAACTAAAAACTTTTATAAAAAGCAAACAATGTTACTATTAGGAAGAGCTAAAGATTTTGCAAAAAATATGTGAATTAATTTTTTATTTATTGGCACAATTTTAATAATTTCAATATAATTTTGATAGTATGCACTGCATAAAAACCTATCAGAACTTAGAATCTAAAACGTATGTAAAATTAAAGTTAATAATTTTTGATATACACATAATAGCTCAAATATATACTAATATCATGCCTTCCTAGATCAAACACGAATTATTTTTACAATTTTTCAACGTATTGAAAGCCATCAAATGTATTTATACCTATTTGATTATAAATTATAAATTATAAAATTTAATATGTTTAATATGTAGAATAATAATTATTAAATTCAAATCAAATTATAAATTTATATATCGCCTTTTGGTATTTGATAACATTTTGTGAAAGTATAAAAGTCATTAAGTGTTTTATGTTCTAATCAACTGCAACATAATGAATGGTATAATGTTATAACAAATTCATTAAAATGATTATGAAGTAACAAATCATTGACCATAGAATAATGGAATTTTGCTGATTTGCTGCCAAATCACAAGTTTCTCTTATAAAACTATCTCGTAATTGACAATCCGCAAAGAGAAAACCCGCATAGGGTTAAGAAAATAAGTCAATATGTTTTTTCACCAAATATGAACTATGTTGCGACCTGGAGTGAAGATGATCAATCAATTGTTGTATGGACCATCAAAGAAGAACTAGAAGAACTCGAATTTGAATTTCATCATTTGATAAATGTCGAAGAACTTTAAAAACTTGTATTTAACCCCGATAAACTAAAAGATATAAAATACGTGATTGGAGTCTCAAAATATAAGCAAATCATACTAGACCTAATTAGAAAAGACCCTTATGATTTTGGGTAGTTACTAATATCACTAATGTTTAAGCTATAAATTATATTAACAAAATTTATTTTAACAGATTCAACTAAATCAAGACTAGAATTAGATGTGCAAGGATTAAAAGGATACATATAGGAGATTACCTTTCTTGAAGATAGAGATCTGGAAATCGTCTAAGGAAAGCCTGTTTATCGGGTTTACAACTTTATAAACAATGGATATGTAAGGATATCATTAAACTTAATATTGTTTTTTGAAGCGCCCTTTGTAATCATGCAATGGATCATAAAAACTCGGGTGCTTGAGATGGAATATATAGTTAATTGGAATATATCACCTTAGAGTTTAAAAATAAAAATGAACAGCAATAATACATTGTTAGGAGTAGCTGGTTGCGCTAATGATGAAATATTAATCAATGTTTATTCAACAGAATCAGGAGCAGTGATAGCAAATAGTGAGAATTTTATTAAATATTTACTGTATAAATAGTTATGTTATTAATTTTATTTACGAATTTTATTTAACAATTAAGGATCATTTAAGGAGTCTTTGCGCAATTTTTGGTTTATTGGATAAAGAGAAAAAGAACGACTGTTATTCTCTAACTCGCAAGAAACCACAATAGTTATACCTTTTATATGCTAAATCCTTACACACTTAAGCCTCCAGAAAGTTTTGCTTTACAAGATATTTATTCTCCATCATACGACAATTATAAAGATTATCATATTAATACTATCTCTGATTTTATTATAAGGCCACACAAAGTTAATTTTTCGTTTTGAATTACCCACCGACCCATTTTTTTAATTTATCGAATTTTTTTTTTTTAGGTTCCAATTGTGCCAATTGTTATATTTTTGCCATTTAAATTTTTCTATAAATTAATCCGGTATCACCCGGTAGAGACCTTATTTTCCGGATTTGCTCGATAAAACTGATAAATAAAAATTTGATTGCCGACCAATTTTCTGATTCCATGTTATGCAAAGCGAAAAATTAACTATGCGTGACCTTAAATATGAATACGAGTCTTTTAATTACTGTAGATTTTAAAAAAATCCAACCGACCGACCGTTGATTCTGAAATCCATGTAATGCAAAGCGAAAAATTAACTTTGCGTGGCCTAAAACTTGAAAATAATAAATTATCGATTCAAAGATTATCATTGGAAGATTTATTTACAAATCAAAGAATGCAAAGAGCATCATGTGGATAATATTTTTTTCAACATAAAAGAAAAATTAAACAATTTGTACAATATATTTTAAAAAAGTGCAACTCAAATCAATATTTAATTCTAAGTTATTTTAATTAGTGAAATCTTGTGAATCTTAAGATTTTATAGAACTTTAATAATAGAATTTTATGAAATCTTACAATTCACAAAGTTTATTAATTAATTCTGACTTCATGCCCTAAGTAAACTTGTTCAGCACCTAAAAATACTTAAAATCAGCAGAATTATTTTTATTTTATTTTACTTGAAATTTAGAAAATAGATGCATAATTTTGGATTTTTGATCAAAAAAGTCAAATTTTAGCATCTTTTCTCCAAATTAATGTAGAATAAAAACAACTCCGCCAATTTAATGTATTTTTAGGTGCTAAACAAGTTTACTTAGTGCATGAAGTTAGTATTAATTAGTATTAATTAATAAACTTTGTGAATTATAAGATTTTATAAAATTCTTTTAATAATTTCTATAAAATCTTATAATTCGCAAGATTTCAATAATTAATTCTAACCTAATGCACTAAGTAAACTTCTACAGCACCTAAAAATGTATTAAATCGGCATAATTGTTTTATTTTACTTGAAATTTGGAGAAAAGATGCTTAAATTTGACTTTTTGATCAAAAATCCAAAATCATGCATATATTCTCTGAATTTAAGTAAAATAAAAATAATTTTGCTGATTTGGTGTATTTTTAAATGCTGAACAAGTTTACTTAGTGCATAAAATTAGAACTCATTAATAAAAATCCGCGAAATATAAGATTTTATAAAGTTTTATTAATAAAATTTTACAAAATCTTATGCTTACAAAATTTAACTAATTAATTTTAACTTAATGAACCAAGTAAACTTGTTCAGCAACAAAAATACATTCGAACTCAGGCCAGTCTGCAGACTTCGGACCAAACTCAGACTTGACTATAAAGTCTGAATATAAAAGTCCGAGTCCGTTCTGAATATCAGACCAGACTCAGACTTGGCTAAAGTCTGGTTCGGGTCCAGTCTGTAGAAGCACTAGATATTATTTGTAATTTAGATTTGAAAGAAACACTTTCGAAAGCAGTTGAAAGTATTCACTAAATCTTGCAATGTGATAGAATATATCATCAGAACTTAATACAATAATCACTTTATCTGAAGACCCAAAAGTGATAAGGTATAAAAATTTTATTTTATAAAATAAAACTTTTCAAATTACAGTCAGACCTCTCTAAGTGCACGCCCTTGGGACCACACTTTTATAACGTGTATATAGAGAATAATAAGAAAATATGCATTTATAGAGGGCAAGTACTGTATATATTTGGGCCAGCACTTGAACGTGCATTTAGAGAGTGTGTGCACTTATAGAGGGTGCACTTAGAGAGGTCTGACTGTACATAATTTTAAACATTAAAGAATGAATAAGAAAAAACCAAACCAAAAAACCCCAAAAGAACAAAAAAGGTAAATAATAATAAAAAAGGAAATCACTATGCTATCTGTGGAATTTAAAACACGGCCCTGCAGTACCATTTCACTTATAATAAACAAATTTATTTCTGTAAATATAAGAAAACGTGTAAGCAAAGTTTTAAAATAATATTGCACAAAAGCACTAGTAATTTTCAATAAACTGTGTAAGTTAGTTGCAAAATATATTATTAAATAAATAACTCACTACTTATTAATAATTGACAGTGAATAGTAATGATTTAAAATTTTACTAATAACAGTGGCTCTGTTAAAAATATATATAGTTAGATAAAATATATTATTTAAAATTATAAAATCATAATTAGTAATTTTATACTTACATATAATTTAATTTAGGTGTTTTTTTAAAATATATATATATAAAGAATATTAAAGTATGTAATTTAAAATCATTAATAAAAAATAAAACCAAATATATAAAGCTTATGCTTTTACTTACTGACTAATAATTTGGTAGAGTTATTTGTTAAGAATTTTTAGATATATATTTTAATAAATTAATAATGTTAAAAATAAATATAAAGCAGTCCATACTTACAAACTATTAATTTGATAGAGTTATTTGTTAAAGCATTTTTAGATATATATTTACTTATTAATAATATTAAAAATATAACAACGTTTATACTTACAAACTAATAATTTGATAACGTAATTTGTTAAAATATTTTTCATAATATTTAAAAATAAATGTAATAAAGCAATTAGAAGTTTAATATCTATTCAATCTAAGATTGGCATCACAAATAGATCTAGTGGAAATCAGATTTTTAATTAATTAGTAATGTCACAGGCTTATGAATTGGATGATCGACATAATTAATATATAATAAGCCTTAATTACTAATTCATTTATTATCCAATTTAGTGATAACAATATGTCATGGGGAAGCTAAGTATTTTACTATACTAGGTTAAAGGAACTGTCGTGTATCCAAAGCTTTACATATTATTACTGTTATTAATATTAATTAATTATCAGTCAATAAGAATAATAGCAAACAGAAAGATATTTTTCAACTTTTACAAGTCCTCGCTATGCTTCGAACAATCAGCCAATCACAAGAAAGTCACATGCTAGACAGACAGATATTTTTCAAGTCAAAGGTCTAATATGGAAAATAATAGCCAATCACAATGAAGGCACATGCTGTACAGACAGATATTTTTCAACTTTTGCATATACATATAAATCCTTGCTATGCTTCAGATAATAAGAGTATTGAATACAATCTGTACTTTATTAATCGATTTAACACTTTAAATAATAATAAGAGAACCACTTCTACTAATGATAATTTCAAAGTTTAGAGTTTTACAACTTGTAGAGTTTTTTTATTTAGAGATAAGCAAAGAGCTCTTATATAGATAAAAATTACATGCTAAGAAAAGATAAAATTAAATTGATTTTATCTTTTATATTCTTTTTATCTTTTCTATCTATTTTATTGGGTTTATCTTTTTTGTCTTTTTTATCTTCATCCCACCTTATATTACTACAAATACAATTATTACCAAAAATGAAAAAATAAAATAAAAAAAATAAAAATAGAAATGGCACAGCCCAGTTTCGGGTATTGAACCTAGGTGCCATACAAAAAATGTGTAGCAGATCCTTAATTTTGATTGGGCAAAAAAATTAAGCCAGAATTACTCAATTTTACTAATGAAATTACAGCTGCCTATTAAGTAAAATTTGTTCCTGGGTCAATTTTACTATAATGTGTTCCTATTTTTTAAAAATTTCTATTTTTGTAATAAAAAAATTAAAAAGTTAATTCCAGCCAGAATTTAGTAAACAATTTTGTAATATGGACCAAAATTTCAAAAATCTTTAGCCATTAGTTAATTAAAATTAAGGATCTGCCACATATTTTTTGTGTGGTACCTAGGGTAAATTTTTCAGGTAGTGCTTCACCTAGTTTGCCTATTACAACATACATACGTATGCTAAAATTTTTGCCAGTCACTTGTTTTAGCCAATCAGATACCAGAAAAGAACTATACATAAAGTACATACTGTATATACTGTATGTACTGTATACTAAAATTTTTCAGATATTATATAAATAGATGTGTCTTACTAATTTTTAAATCAGCTGTAAGCACCGCAACTACAATAGCAGTGCAAGGACTCACATTATGGTTAAGCTATGTAACTGGAATAATCAAATAGAAACCAATGATAATGAATTTCATACTTACTGAATATAGTTAAGTATACTGCATAGTTTAAAAAAATTTTTTTTGAAGCAAAAGAAGCTATTTTATAGTCTAGCCTAAGCCATACCTTATTAAAAAAAAGATAGTAATAACATTTTACCCTATTTTTGTGTAATAATGCACATGTGCATTATTTCAAAATTGGCACTTTTTTAAAAATCGCCCATTTGACTCAAAATAATACACATGTGCATCCCGAAATAACGCACCCACTCCCATAAGAGTTTTACAATAAATATAAGTATATTGCACATGTCTATTAAAGATTGGTAATTTTGATCCGAAATATTGCACATGTGTATCTCGAAATAATGCATAGGTGCACAGGTGTGTGTTATTACATGAAAATATGGTAAATCCCATGTAATATTGTCCATGCATACTTTATTTACAATTTAGTTATATCTGCAATTTACTAATCAGAATAATAGAAACCTATAAAGCACAGAACAATTGATGAAGTACAAGGTGAAAAGTTTCATTTAAAGAGATTCTACAAACATACTGTACGTACGTATGTACAATAAGTAAATGGAGGTCTATCTGATAGAATTTAAATGGCGCTGATCACTGTAGCTAATTACTCAAAAATAACTGGCACACATTCAAGATGTGCTATAAAAAGAAAATGTTATATAAATATTATAAGATTTAACTAAGAAGACACATGAGAGATGAACATAAAGTTTACTATTGTAAATGTATTTTTAGTATTCATATTCAAAATAAAGGTACATAGCAATGCATACATCGAATTATGGAATCAAAAGTCAATTTAACTTATTGAGTCTTATAAATACAACCTGAATATTGTGTACGATAAAAACTTTTTGGGGCATGATCTAGATCAGATCAAGATAATATAAAAATATTTGACGAAATCCTTTCCGTTTTAGCCTAAAAGGAAATGTGGCGGATCACGAGTAAGATCGCATCCAATAAATAAGATGTTTAACGTCTAATCTTAAACTTTATTGAAAACGATTTATGACATGCGGACAAAGAAAGATTGGAGGGAGTTAAATATATCGTTATGATTATATTAAAATTAATCATGTGATAATCTTAAATTATGAATTTCTCAAAATTACATGATTGCCCTAATGCCCCCTTTTGCTACGATGGTCCCATATACTGTAGACAACAACGGAAATTATAATATGATTTTACAATATACTAGTAAAGGAACTTTGCGTGAATAATTAAAAGCAAAATTTAAAAATTACAATGAATTGATAAACAAGTATTGCTAAGGAAATAGCAATCGGACTTTTATTCTTACACGATAATAATATTATTCATAGAGGTCTTGTAAGCATTATAAAATTTTCCTGATTTTTTTTACTAATTTACTAATACTAATTACTAAAACTTTAATTTCAGCACTCAAAGAGCATCTTAATTCATCAAAACGACCTAAGATTGCTGAGTTTTGAGTATACAAACAAATAGATGAATGTTTTGTTAACTACAAATATAAACATGAAATAAAATCTTACGTCTATAGCCATGGAATAATTCTTTAGGAAATTTCAAGTGGAATACCACTCCTCAGGCTGACAGAATGTTCTATTAAATTAATAAAATGCATTATTTAAAAATTATAAAATCATAATTATAGAGTTTATGTTTACCGATAATTTAATTTGAATAGTTGTTAAAATAAACTGTTAGATATAATGAATATAACTATATGTAATTTAAAGGTCACTATTAAAAATTCGAAACAAATATATAAAGCTTAAACTTTACTTACTTGCTAATAGTACGAAAAGCATTTAGTAAAATACTTGCCAGATTTATATTTTAAATCATTATAATTTTAAAAACAAATATTATAAAACTAATACTTACCCTCTAATAATTAAAAAAAGATATTTTAAAATTATTATAACTTTAAAAATAAATATAATACGTAAAACCTATACTTACGCTCTGATAATTTAAAAAAACATAATTCAAAATCACTAATAATTTTAAAATAAATATAGTGAAGCTTATACTTACCCCCTAATAATTTAATAAATATTAAAATATTTGTTAGATGCATATTCTAAAACTACCAATAATTTTAAAAATAAATATTATACTTACAGCCTAATAATTTAACAAAATCATATTTTAAAATTCTCAATAATTTTTAAAAAATATAATAAAATTATACTTACTTTCTGGTAATTTGACAAAGGCATTTATTAAAATATTTGTCAACTCATATTTAAAATTATCAATAATTTTATACTTACAAGCTAATAATTTGATAGACAATTATTAAAATATTTGGTAGTTTTATATTTTAAAATCGTTAATAATATTAAAAATAAAATATAATAAAACTTATACTTACCGGCTAATAATTTTTGATAAAGGCATTTGTTAAAGCATTTTTAGATATTTATTTAAGATCAAAAATATTTTTAAAAATAAATATAATAAAGCTTATATTTACTGGCTAATAATTTAACAGAATATTTGTTAAAAAATATTTTTAGAAAAATAATAGTTTTAAAATAATTATATTAGTAAATTTATTTACTACCTAAAATAAGATTTTATTTGCAAATCAGGTGTAATGATTTTTTTTTGCAAAATATTACATAACTCTGTTAGATACGTAGAATAAAATGCTAAAATACATTTTTTTAAAGAGCAAAAAAATTCGTTTGGGTAATGAATAAATTTTTTTATAATATTATATTTACCATCTAATAATTTAACAATATATATATATATTATAAGGTTATAATTAGCATAATATAAATTAAGTAAAATTTTAAACCAAATATCAAAGCTTATACTTACATTCTAATAATTTGATAAAAATTTATTATAAATTTATAAATTGTATATTTCAAAATCAAATAATAATTTTAAAAACTAATAAAACTTACAAGCTAATAATTTTGACAGAGGTAATTGTTTAAATATTTGCTGACTGTGTATTTTAATAATTTTAATAAATCTTATACTTACCCTCTAATAATTCGACACAACAGAGCCATTTGTTAAAATATTTGTCAAATGCATATTTTAAAAATTAATAATAATTTTAAAAATAATCATAAAATAGCTTATACTTACTCGCTATAATTTAAAATAGGCATTCGTTAAAAATTTATAATATGTATTCATGAATAATGATTTTAAAAATTTATAATTCTTATTGTATTTACCAGCTAGTTAATACATGTATTATTAAATATAAAAATAAATAAAGTAATTTAAAATTTTAAATAGTTAATTTCTGGATAATTGTAATTAAGCTTATATACCATCTAGTAAAATTTGCAAGAAAAAAAAAAATTATTAATTACTAAGTGTAATTTAAAATAAGGTAAAAAATTTAAATCCATATACTTACTCGCTGATAATTCAATAAATATAAATATATTATAAGATTATAAAGCATCAATTAAATCTATTAAAAAAATTAAAAACAAATATGAGTGTCGCCAAAAGGAAACCCGACAATTTAAATATCAACTATATTTGAATTGTCGGGGTTTTTTTGGCGGCACTCATATAATAACGTTATACTTACTCACTAATATTCAAAAAAAAAGTGTGTATTTTCAAATCATAAATAATATTATTTAAAACCATCAAATAGCAAAAAAAAAATTCAGATAAAAATATAAAGCCTATACTTACGTCCTAATAATTTAATAGAAACATTTGTCAAAACATTTATTAGATAATAATTTTAAATATAAATATAATAAAGCTTATACTTACGATCTAATAATTCAATAAAAGATAATATATAAATACATCATTTAAAATCACTAAGTTAATATTTTGTAAAGGATATAAAATGTTTATACTTACTTGCTAATATTCAATAAAAAAAAAAAAGTGCATTATAATATCATAATTAAAAAATAAATAAAAACGTTTAGAAAGAAATATAATAAGCTTATACATACCAGCTAAAAATTTAACAAGTGAAAGTGTATATTATGTATTATTGACTGTGTAATTTAAAATTATCAAATAAAATTTAAAAATAAATATAATAAAGTTTATACTCACCCCCTAATAAATTAATAAAAAATATTTATTATATTTATAAATAATATCATTTAAAATCATAATCATCAAATGAAAAGTTTAGAAAAAAATATAATGAAGCAATTCTTACCCTCTAATAATTCAATAAAGAAAAAATACGCATTATAAAGTTATATAAAGTTATATTAAAATCCAACAAATATAATAAGCATTATTTACCCGCTAATAATTCAATACAAGAAAATATATGTTATAAATTTATAGATTACATAAATAAAAAATTAAAAACAATCAAATAAATTCTATACTTACTATCTAATCATTTGACAGAACATTTGTTAAATATTTGTTAGATGCATATATTTAAATTTACAATAATTACAAAAATAAAGCTTATACGTATTCACTTTCTAATAATTGACAAAGGCATTTGTTAATATATTTGTCAGATAAATATATAAAATTAATTTTTTTTTTAAAAAAAAACAAATATAGCATAGCTTCTACTTACGTGCTAATAATTTAATTAAAAAATCATCAAATGAAAAATTTAGAAATAAGTATTAAAATTCATAATTACTCGCTAATAAATTAATAAAAGAAAATAATTAAAAAGATATAAATAGGATAATTTAGAATAAAATTTTGAAAACAAATATAGCTTTTACTTACTCTGACAATGTGTTTGTTAGAATATTTGTCAGAAACATATTTCAAAATTTGAAAATCATCAAAATATAAATCTAAAAATAAATATAATAAAACCTATACTTACATTACGTGCTAGCAATTCAATAATAATCAGATATAATTATGCTTACCAATTTTTGCCACTAATTCAATAAAAGAAAAGTTAAAATATGCATTAAGGCAATAAATAATAATTTCGGATCACAAATCAATGAATACATACTCTCTAATAATTTAACAAAGAGTATAAAATTTGATATCACAAATGAAATTTCAGTATACGTATACAAATCAATGAAACACATACTCTCTAATAATTTAGCAAAAGGTTATATGGTTTGATATTATCAAATGACATTCAGGTATATAACAAATCAATAAAATACATACTCTCTAATAATTTAACAAAATTTATAAAGTTTGATATATATTATATAATTATAAAACTCTAAATCAAATTAGCTACCTTTTCCCTAAGGCAGTTCTAATACGTAATTCAACAAAGGTTACAAAGTTTGAAAAAAATAACAATTATAAATGCTAAATCAAATTAGCTACCTTTTTTCTAAGGCAACGGTCGAAGTTGTCAAGGAAACATTTAAAATAGCAATAATAAGAACTAAAACAATGTAATTTAATTTCATTGTGGCAGTATTAGACAGAACAAATTATAATACCTTAATCAAGCTCAAGTTGTATTTATAATTAAAAGTCTAAGCATTTATACCCGTTTTAGACTTAAAATCCTTTTATTTTTAAAAATTACTTAATTTTATTTTAAATCAAATTAAAGCAATTTTACGATAATATTAGATACACCCCTGCCTTCTTATGTTTATCTTTTTAAATCCAATTGCATCAGAAAATTTTTAAGCGCAATAATTCATGCTATGCATATGATGGCTTGTAGAGTAACGCGCGGAAGAGTTGATGATACAGCCATGTGAATTACTATCATGTTCGTAATAATGGTTAGTGGTAAGGCTTAAAGGACCGTTTGTGCCTCAGTTATGGTTTGTTGAAAAAGATAGGTTTCTTAATGAGATGATTTGAATGCATTCTTGTATTCAATGGTTAATGTTATCCTGAAGATACAAGAAAGGGAATTTATTCAGATGTACCAAATTATCATTTATCTTGTTATGCAACTCCGGTCACTAAGCCTCTTAATAATCATATCGAATTTATTAATATCATTCACTATTTAAATTAAGCCAATCTCTTACACACTTAAATAAATAATTTTTTAAAAATTTGATAATCAATAGACTTTTATCGCTTTTAAGGATCACTTAAATTATTTAATAATTTTTTAAAAATTTGATAATCAATAGACTTTTATCGCTTTTAAGGATCACTTAAATTATTTAATATTTTTTTAACAAGATAAAGCATCACCCTAATGCAGGGAACCTTAAAAAAACAATATGCAATTTTAAAGTGGGACAAACAATGGTTTTGCTTCATAAAATTTATGATAGGAGAAACGTTAACTGTTAACTCGTGTGTGCACACGAGACAGTGCATTTCGAACGCACTCCTCAACTCTATAAAAAGTGCAAATTTCTTACATTAAATCTATTAATATAACTTTTATAATCTTTTTGTTTTTTATATAAGAATCAATTTGTTGTAACACTGATAAAAAATTTGTTAAAATTTTTCTTAGCAGGAAGATAAAGTTAAGATTTTCAAATCCTCTTTTTATCGTATAGTTTTAAGATCCTTCTTTTAATATACCAAGCAATCACCTGATCTTTCAATAATCTCTTATTATTTGTTGACAAGATATGACAAATTCTCAATTGCGACAACATCATGAACTTTTTCCCATACCGTATTGTCGCGAAATAATGCGCAGGGGTGAAATTACAAAGTTCGGCCTAAATTAAGCCTAATTCGGGCCAAATCACTAAATAACGCCCATGCCCATTGTTTCGCGACAATACGGTAATATTTTATATAAAAAATAACATACGTATTTTACAGTAATTTTATAAAAATTATACCATCTGCAATATTGAACACAATAATTTAATTTCTTTCGGCATTGGCCTGAATTTTATCCAATTGTATTTTATTAAATTTATGTAAATAAATAAAACCTTAAGAGGCCGATAATGTATGAAGCAGGATTATATAGTTCTTAATTCTATGTTCTCTAGAGTTTATTAATTTTACGAAAAAAAATTTATAAGGATAGTCTAAAATACATTTAATTAATTTCGTAGAGAGAGTATCTTTATATCTAAATTACAATGTTTAAAGAACTGATACAACAGATTCTAATGCAGCATGAATTACAATAAGGTACTAGGTTTAATTTCAAATGATAAATCCTAGACGATTGCAAATCCTATAAGTATACAACTAACGATCCCAGAAGTCCAGGCAATACAAATGCTAAACCATTCATCTTTTCAGCCATACCACCTTCTTGATTTACGGTTTTGACTAATACAGGATTGGCTTTAAAAGGTTTAGGAAAAGGAAATAGACCATAAAATTCATCACTATCAGTACTAATCGATCTTGGGGTTGAAGGATGTTGTGGTATTGACGACTGTGAAGGCAATGTTATAAAAAATAAATCAAGATCCATTGTTGAAATATGAGGCATCGTTAATCAGGCATTATTTATAAATTCCGAATTAATAATAAAATATTCTGGAATATCGCTTAGGTGACATGTTTCGGTATAATGCTGCTGTATTATAAATTTTTCTGTAATATTTTTAACAGAGTTGGAGGTACATTGGCATGAGTTTCTAAGTGCTTTGCAATCTGTGCTTTCGTTCTTTTTCTTCAATTAATAAAACAATACTAAATTCTTTTAGTTAAAAATATTATGAAATTAAAGTCATTTCAATTGATAATAACTTTCTTTTGGTTGAGTGATTGTCACCAACGGTATCGTTTTTGCTTTCTTTCTACTTAAGAAGTACAACCAAAATGGAATTATAAAATTTGTGGAACAAATAAAAACCAATACTGTACAATTAGGGTTCCCTTATGCTAAGAAAATCCCGAGCTGAAGATCACTGTAGATCCTTTCCGATCTGATCCCGGACCCTAAATATTAACCAATCAGAATCAATTAAATTGAAAATCCTTTCAAAAATTTTGAATTTCTTATGAGGTGTGGCAACTTAGTGTAGTGGTCTAGTTGTCACCCTCTCCAAGTGGCAGGTCTAGAGTTCGAATCCCACAAATGACAATATTTGAAAAATAGGCTTGTGTTTGGTTAATGGTTATGCTTATTGGTTGTATCTAGAACTAAAATCTGTAACTTCAGTCACACCATCTAGTAATGGGAGCTTTGGTGTAATAAATCTGAGGAACTAGTATAACTGAAAACCCATTTGGGAAGTCCCAAGTTGGGAGGTAGTATGATCTTTGACAATGCTACAGAAAGACCAAATTTGGAACTGAAGACCAAAATTGGAGAACCAAACAATCACTGGACACACTAGCCAAACCAACAGGTAGACACGTTGGAGAAAAAGAATATATGTTCTGAAAGTATGTACCAAGGGGAGGGTGACTATGAGGTACTTAAAGCCTAGGCAGACCAACCCTTCCAGGTTGCTGGCTGGAAGCAAGGGATAGACCAATAAAGAATTTGGAAAAGAAGAAAGTCTGAATGTTGGTACTGGGGTTTGTAAATCTAACAAGAGCAAAAAGCGATCAATGGGGTTATGTGGTAAGGAATTGCAGATTCATTAGAGTTCTATGGAGTAGGGACTCAGAACATTATTGATAGGCTTGAAGTATAATAACAATATGAGTGGGATATAGAAACTAATAAGTATAGGTTGTATATCTAGCACACTGCTTAAAGTTGAAGGTAAATTGTGAAAATAGAGATATTCTGAATTATTACATAAAGTAGTTCTTAGATATAGATAGTTAATCATAGCCTTAGTCTTGTCATATATAAACAATTAGATGTGTAATACTTTAGAGAATTACTATTAAATCAAAATTTATCTAAAATTTATTAATATAAGCTAAAATTTGTCTAAATTTTGTTATCTGAGAAAAATTTGAGTATTTAAAAACAAAATTTCACAGGTCTCTGATTAATCCTAAGAAGATTAGACTGATCTGATTCTTGGATAAACTAAAGAACTGTTGGTTTAGACTAGATTAATTAGCAGCCTTACTAGTTAATAATAGCCTTTATTATTTTAATAATAGCCTTTATTATTTTAATAATAGCCTTTATTATTTTAATAATATTATAACATTAATGGAATTAATTGCATTAATTCAATTAATAGCATTTCAGAAATTAATGCCATATGAAGTTTAATCTTAAAACTTGTATTGAGATAAATATGTAAAAACCACAAAAATGACTCTCTTCACTTCAATAAAGATAACTCACTTGGAGTTAAGAACTCGCTAGAGTTTGACTCATAGAGTTTATTGTCCTAATCTAAATATTTTGCTTTAATTATCATCTAAGAAGGTAAATTAGAAGTCTAATTCTGTAACTCCTAAGAAGGAGCTTCATGATGTAGTCTAGAGCTCTATTTGGGCCCTAATAGCTCAGACAAATCTTTTGACTAGAGTAAAACTGCCACCAAAAAAGTTTTAATTATTATGTGATAAATATGTTAAAAAAGTCATTTAATTTGAACAAGCAAAAATTAACAAACTAAAAATTAATACCAGATTTTTCTAGTATTTGGAATATTTCAATACTTTTTTAAAATAATTATAACTATCCTCCAATTTATTCAATTCCTTAAAATTTTTATTATTAATCTATTTGTTACTATTTGGTTTAATCATATTTTTTTAATAATTTTTTTGTTGCATTCTGAATTCAAAATTATAAAATGTTTTTGCTCAAATAAGTATCTAATCAGTTATAGTCTTCCAGAAGAGTATTCAACATCAAATTTATAAGATTTTATAATATAATTGCATTTGTCTAGTTAGTTTTTATAATTTCTTTCTTTTTTTATTTACCTTTAATAAAAATTTGGTTATGATAAACAATGTGTATTTTTAGAATATTGTGTTATTTATTTTATCTTTTTAAAAGATTGCAACAATTGTTTTATATTTTGAAGAATTGAAGATAACAAAATTTTTGCTTGGTAATAAAAATCAACTTTTGCCCTAAATGACAAAACTTCAAATTCTTTTAACAAAAATCAAAGCTCTCAAATTGGTCTGACTGAAGTCAAAACCCAAATTTAATTTAACAAAACTCTAGTACTCCTACTAAAAAAAAAATAAAAAATAAAAAATACTAAAAAATCTGTTATTACTGAAATTCTTAACAATCCCACTAAAAAAATTAATAAAAATCTATTTTTAGCAGAGACAAGCTGTTAATAAAAATAAACCCATAAATTTATATATTTAATCAAAAAATAATGATTTATTATTGAGGCTTTCTTTTTATTTATATTTTATGCTGAAGTTGTTTATTGGCTTGATGTAGCTTGAATATTTAGTTTTTAAAAACAAAAATTATGGTTGATCTTTAGTAGAGGTGGCTACTATAGAAATATTATAAGATTATAATATATAAACATAGTATTTAAACTAATTTAAGCAAACTTGAGATTGGTTAGAGTTAGGGTAAGAGTTATAGTATAGTTTATATTTAGCTCTAGAGTTAGGGGTAGAGTTTTTTTATATTATAATCTAATAATATTTCTATATTGGCCACCTATACTAAAGGATATCTGATATATTATTGAAAAGACTAATATATAAATTAGTAATAAGTATTTTGGCAAAAAAAAAGATGCCTTATGAAATTTTAATATATAGTACAAATATCTATAATCAAAATACTAAATTCTAACTTTAGTGTTGAAATGATTTTATAATATGAAGTTTCTCATTCTAACACTAACTATAGAAAGCTGCTAAAATGATTTTATAATACAAACTTTCTTATTCTAACAATAATTATAAAGAGCTATTGGAATAATTTTATAATATAAACTTTCTTATCCTAACACTAACTATAAAGAGCTGTTAAATAATAACTTCTCATAGCAGTACTTGCAGAATTATTTGGTATTATAAAATGATTTTTATATGTTGTACATGGGTGTGAGATTAGTTGTGTAATATCAATATTTCCTTCTGTTTTTAGTATAATAATATAAACTTTATCATTCTAACATTAACCATAAAGAGCAATTAGAATAATTTAATAATATGAACTTTTTTATTTTAGCGCTAATCATAAAGAGCTGTTAGAATGATTTTATAATACAAAGTTTCTCATCCAGAGTTTATCCTAATATTTGGATCTGAATTTATTTAGTTATCTGTTTGCTGTTGATATCCTGATAATTATCTGAATGATCTGAGTTATTCGAGTTGGAACCCTGCTAACCATAAAGAGCTATTAGAATGATTTTAAAATAAAAACTTTTGCATTCTAACACTAACTGTAAACAGCTATTAGAATGATTATTTTAGTTTATTTATTGTATTCACTACAGTATAGTAATTATTATTTTTATGTTATAGTGATGTTTGGCTAAAACTCATATGACTTCTGTCTTCTTTCAAGGTGATAGTAAGTCAACAGATCAAAAAGACTGCTAAGCAGTGATACTTTAGCAAGTGACGATCACATGGGTGATCCCAGTTTCAACAAGAAAGTTCAGGTATATGTAAGAGGGGGAATAAATATAAATTTAATGAAATTACTTTAGGAGCTTATGGTGTGAATACTAATATATCCAAATTTAGCAGGGAATGTATGACAATAACAAAAATGTAAAAGAACAACAGCAGTCCTTTCAAAAGAAAATTCAATTTCAAACTCTAACCTACTATTCCTTAGTAGAATTATGCTATTTTGTGGCAGCTTAAATATCTCTTTACAGCCGGCCTGTGTTATGCAGGTGGGGAGCTACCAGCTAAAATAATATAACTCCAAAACTTCAGACTAACAGCCATCCTACATTTATGCGTGTGGGAAACCACCAGCTAATTCTAACCACACATCAAATGTACTGATGCATGCTATAAATCTCTTTCAAACATATTGAAGTATGCTATAAATCTCTTTAACTATACATTAAACACACTAATATATAATATATACTATAACTCTCTAATAATAGTTAAATATTCAGCTCTATTAGTGCTGGAATGTAGCATAATTATGCGCAAATTTATAGTATCAGGTGCATTGATTCTGTTCTCTGCTTAGATTTTCTGTTCCTGGTTTTGTTGTACTAGCTAGTTTGTTACATTATTTACTAGTATATATATTGATATGTAATTGATTAATAATCTTTACTATAATAAAAATTTGCTCTGTTTACATAATTACGAATGGAGAATTTCTATTGGCTAATATATTAAAAAAATTAAGATTTCAAAATCCCACCTTACTGACCCGGCTGGGATATGAAAACCAATAGTATAATTTTGTGTGGCCTTATTATAAATTTATTTTTTCATAATTTATTATTATTTTAAATAACATTTATCTGCTTCATCATCATCTATTAGTTTTGACAACCTTTGTAGTTTCATCAGTTTCTTTACCTTTTATCACCTTTTGCAAGTTTCAATACCTTTTATCAGTTTCGACACCTTTTGTTAGTTTCAACATTTTGTCATTTG